TGTGTGTGTGTGTGTGTGTGTGTGTGTGTGTGTGTGTGTGTGTGTGTAGGGGTGATCTAGTGGCCACAGGGAAAATCCAGAAATTCAGAAGTAGCCAGGCTCATTTTGAAACATTAAGAAGGACAAACAGCTTATCAGGTGGATGTACCCCACATGATTAAGGACTGAAAAAAGCAAGACCCTTTATATTATATTTGGGGGTGGGGGGTGCAGTGCAATCTAGCCACTTCAAAGCAATTGAAAGGCAGACTGAGGACTGAGCATCCTTGCTCAGCCTTTAAGGCAGAGATCATTGCAAATGCTTTTTAAAAGGCAGTGCCACACAGTTTTTCTTATGAGCAGGAAACATTTTTGCACTTAATACAAGCATCTTTCAAATCGATTCAAAATCTCACCCCCAAATGCCACTGGTTCACTATTCTCCTACGCCTTTGATTCACCAGACTTAGTAGCATTTGTTTCCTTTTCCATACTCTCTCAAGTGAAAGACCCTCATCTCCTACTCTCTGTGGTCTGACTCAGGGAAATAAGGCGGAATACAAACGTTCGGTGATGAAAACTGTGCTTTCTGGAGCATATTGGTAAGACTGCAGCAAGCTGAGGCTCTCAGCAGTGACAGCACATTCCTAGTTGCTCTGGGGAACAGTGGGAAAATCCTACCCTGGGCTGAACTCCTCCCTGGGTGCTGCTTGTAGCAGGAGACTTTAGGGGCAGACGGGATACAGAAGTGATGGGGGTGCGGTGGGATGGGGAAAATGAGCTTTTGATCCTATGTTCCAATGTTACTGAAACAGGAATAATTTGTTAACCCAGGACAGAAAAGCTGCCTCTCTTCAGATTGCCCTGTTGTGTGATGCCTGCTTTCCTGTGTTGTCTTAGTTTTTTTCTGTGTTGGGGTCAGTGATTTCCCCTTCCCAACCTCATAGGTTTCCAGGTCCACAGAGGTGTGGGTTGTTTATTGAACTAAATTCAAGAGTGGTAGCAGGTGGCGATGTGGGGAAGGGACAGGGGAGGAGTATGTGTGATGGTCTTTCACTAGCTAGCAATTTAAGCAAATGTATGATTGAAATAAACTGTCATGAGTGACAGCTGGTGAGCTAACGTTGTCCATGTCCAGAAGTTTTTCTCAAACTCAGGTGCTCGCCCCTCTGAATGATCTTACAGACTGGCATCTTTCTTTTTTCCTTTTCTTTTGGGAGGGAGAGCCAAGTCTGAATAACAGGAAGAGGGATGGCGGGAGAAAACATACACCACCCTCTCCCAAAATGCAAATGCCTCCGGCCACCTACCTAAAAAGGCACAATCAGCTGTTTGAAATGCAGAATGGCATCACCAGGAGGTTTACTTAATCTGAGGGTTGTTAGTAGATTTCTCTTCTACCAATGGAGAACCCAGTATGCCTAAAAATACTGCTTCTAAGAGGTTCTTTCAAGAGAAATATTTTGCAAATGTCTCTAAGATGTTAAGCCTTGGTGGAGAGCTTCTTACACATGCACAGACGCGTGGGTGCGCGTGGGCGTGCGTGCGCGTGCGCACCCCCCCCCCCATAATCTCATTTTCTCTGACCAGGAAACTTCATCTTATTTTGTTTATAATTAAAACATGACTTTATGACACATACCATGCACGCAACACCCATTTAAACTAGTAATGTTGTAGAAGAGAGACGCTTTGATAACTTTGAGGGGGTTTTGGATTTAGTCTAAGAATGATCATTTGGGAATGCCATTGTAAACAGCATCTCACTTGGAGGGCAGGGACTGCAGGAACATCTATAATGAAACCTCAATAAAGAGACCTCCTCTAGGAGACAAAAGACCTTTTCTGGAAAAAAAGAAAAAATCCCCCAATTGTGCAACTGAAGGATTCAATTCAATCCTTGGATTCCATGGATTTGATGTGCTCCTAGGAAGGTTCCTGAAATCCAGTGCCAAAAGCTGCTCTGGCTTGGTGCATTAAGGGCGGTGTTGGTGTGCTTACAGGGAAAGCTTCCAGAAGCAAAACCTTATTGGTAAACATCAGAAGCACAGATCCACCCTACCCCCTAGAAATATGGATATTGGAAACTGGAGAATTTCTCTCCTATCTCTAAGACTTTTTCCCTCTTTATTCTTCTTTTGTAAATGTGGCCATGAGAAAAAGCTAGAGAATAATCATGCTTTGGTATTTGCTGCTGCCACCCCTACCCACCGTATCACTAAAAACCACATATGTAGAAGATCTGAAGTCCAAGTAAATCTAATGAAATACTATTGTAAACAGGACTCTGTAACCTGAGACATGGAGAACAAATGATGGTCATGAATACTGTGTTCTTAATTTGTGTGTGTGTGTGTGTGTGTGTGTGTGTGTCTGACTGTCTCTGTGCTGTGTGCCTTTATAGGCAAGGAAATATGTTTCCTACACAAACAGAAATTTAGCTCACATCATTTCATGCTCCTGCACCTCTTGCTTTGGAGAATGGCAGCAGGTGGGGGAAGGCAAGAATGAGGGAAATTGGTAGATTTAACTAAGGTTTTATGACACTTGAAATCTTTTCTTTCTTAAATTAATTGATCTTTAAGCTTCAAGAAACTTGCTCTGTCTGACCCCCTCTAAGGAAACTACTGAGCATTTAAAAGACAATCTGATTTTTTAAAGGTGTAGCACCCTTTTTGTTGTTGTTCTTCCCTCAGAGGGTGCTGATCTCCTTGTCCTGTGCTGTCTGGAAGGAATTTAAGACCTGGGCATTGTCTCTTCCTGGGCATTGTGATGGATTAAGCCTCCATTTGCAGTACCTTCCCAGCTGATTAAAGTTCAGCCCTAGTATAGAGGTTTCTCAAATATTTATATAGAAAAAAAAGTCCTTTCAAATGACACTCTCAGACCAGCCTTAGCCCCAATAGTTTTTTTTTTTTTTTAGGTGGTACCAGAGTGAGCAGGTTAAATGAAACCCATCCTTTGGCCTTCACTCTGAGGAAACACAGCCCCTGGGGCTCAGACTCCAGCCCTGATAGTTGAGACCACCAGCCAGTCCAGGCTCTCAAGACTGCAAAGTTGCCATCATAAAGAAAAGGTTATTCCAGTAAAAGGAAACTTTTAATATTCTCTCAAGCTCTTCAAAGTCTAAGAGTGCCTTACCTTTTTTCCCCTGCCTTCAGGAAGGAGACATTCGGTATGACTTAGCATCAACAACACGTTTATGAGTACGTGTAAGTCATTAGAGGGGCAGACACTACCTGTTATTTCTCTCAAGTTTCCTGAGCAACTGCACACAGATCACGGGAAGGCTTAGGGGCCTCCTGTGTTGCTGGGTTACATCAATCGACTTGTCAGCAAGTTCGGCACTTATTCTGTCTGGTGCAGCCGTGTAGAAGGAAGCACTGGTGGATCACACATCCTGGGATCATGAAAGGCATCAGATACCCTTCTCACAGAGAACATTATCAAGAGGCCAGAATTTATATGCTTTGGAGAATGGGTATTATAATGTTTCAGGGTAGTCAAAATAAGCATCAATTATATCCTCTAGATAGGTGGTTATGTTGGTTGATTTGGGCTTGCCATGGATGGAATATCAAATAGCAAGGAGTTAATTGGAATATGACTATTAGGCTCCTGAAATATATTTTGGGAGAAGTTTAGGGATATACACATACATACATATACGTAAATGACATAAAATGACACATAATAGTCACACATACTACATTGTCATGTATGTATGTATATATATATATAACCACACGTATAACAACATACACATGATCATATTATATAACTAATCCCTCCAGCATTAATTATCCTCCTGCTTTCTTCTTCCATGATCAAACTTTTACTCACAAAAGGATCTGATAAAATCAATCACGAGGTGTAAAGGACTGAGGTGGCTGATGGTATTTTCAGGCATTAGTTGAGTGGTAGAGGCTCTGCAGGCTGGGGATCTTCTGAGCTCCTCATTCCATAGAAGGGTGTATGCCTGCTACCTAGTGGTAAGAGCCAGCAAAGCATTCTTTACAGAGCATGCACCTAACTAAGGAGTTCCACCTCAGGGTTACAAAACATTTCTCCATTAAAAATTGCTCTACTCAAATTTTTTTCCAGGGATCCTGCAGGCAGAATTCTTCCTCCTGTGACTGGGCCCCATCTCCTGGCCTTCCTCAGCTGGACACAGTTTACAGTTTTTTGCTCAAAGCAAACACCTGGCTATTACGTCCTGAAGGCTTAGTCAGGGTTGTAAATGAGACAGAGAAAATACATTTATTGAATGGTTACTTGGTATGTGAGCCTTTATCTAGACCTTATCTTTACATGAGGAACCTGAGGCCTAGAGAGGTTGAGTGTTTTTGTACAGCTAGTAATTGGAAGCACAGGGCATTCAGTCTGGTGTCCTTTTAACTATACCCTGTTTCTAATTTCCTTGAATGGTTACCTCCTCCACTGCTCTAACCAGCAAAGACCCTAGGACTAGCCTGGGCTAAGGGTACATGCTCACCCTATTCTTGGTGGATGACATGGGTGCAATGCTCGAATCCAGGAATTTTCATCATGACTTTGTTTGCTCTGGCCTCTGGTAATCGGGTCATGCAGGACTCTGCCAACAGAGGAGACCTCTTACAGGCTTCCAGGAGCTCAAAGTTCAGTTAATCATCCAGTCCAACCACTAACCAGAGGATTTTGGACTCAGAGAGACTAAGGTCTTCCAGGTATTCATATATTACTGTTGAGGATTTATTTAATGACCCCTCTTGGTCATTAAATGGGCTATGTCTCTATGGTGGTGGGTCTCAACCAGGGGCAGATCTGCCACCCAATCAATGTAATGTCCAGAAACATTTGTGATTTTCATGCTTGGGGGTGGGATGCTACCAGCATCCAGTGAGTAGAGGTC